AGTTGGTCCTACAAGCTTGCGTTTCAATGTATTATGCCTGGGACCAAAAATGTGAGCCTTTAGGAGAATACAGGTAGTCCTCGACTTACAACAGTTCATTTAGTGAACGTTCAAAGTTACAACAGCACTGAAAAAAGTGACTTATGACCATTTTTCACACTTATGACCTTTGCAGAATCTCCATGGTCATGTGATTTTCATACAGAGGCTTGGCAACTGACTCACATTTTATGAGGGTTGCGGTGTCCCAGAGTCATGTGATCTCCTTTGCGACCTTCTGACAAGCAATGTCAATGGGGAAGCCAGATTCACTTAATAACTATGTGACTAAGAATTGCAGTAATTAACACATAAGGTAAGAAAAGTCATAAAATGGAGCAAACTCATTTAACAAATTTCTCATTTAACAACATAAATTTTGGGCTCAATTGTGGTCATAAATTGAGGACGACCAGTACTAAGTCTTACACTACTGATTTAATCCCCATTTCTCCACTTCTCCCTTCCAAATCTTCTAGTATCCTTGCCAATATTCCTCTTTTTCTATTTAGAGCTAATCATTCAGGAAATGAATAACTGCAGAGAGTTCTCCACTTCTGTCTTTTGTCTAAATTTAAGTTGTTTTTTTTTTAAGTGAATAGGTTTAAAATAGCCTATTGGGTGCATGTCATCTACATACCCTGTAATTCTAGGTCAGGGATCCTAGTCCTGATTACAAAGGAACTGAAATTTGTAAGTATGCTACAAAGATGTTTATAGGCTACTTTACCCTACTGCAAAATACATACAATCCTTGATGGTGACAAAGAGTTAAGAATTGTTTGGGTAATCTTTGCTGTCATCTAATGGACATCTGGGTGTTTATTTTATTTATTTATTTTATTTTATTAAATTTCTATACCGCCCTTCTCCCGAAGGACTCAGGGCGGTGAACAGCCACAAAATAAAACACTTAAATACAAAAATTTAAAATAAATTAAAAACAAATTAAATAATTTGGCTGAATTTAAAATACCCCATAATTTAAAAACAAATTAAAATTTACATTTAAAAAGGGGAGAAGATTTAGGCCAGGCCAGCTTGATGAAATAAAAAAGTCTTAAGCGTGCGACGGAAGGTGTGCAAATCTGGGATCCTCCATATCTCCGGGGGGAGCTCGTTCCAGATCGTAGGTGCCCCCACAGAGAAGGCTCTCCCCCTAGGGGCCGCCAGTCGACATTGTTTGGCCGATGGCACCCGGAGGAGCCCCTCTCTATGGGAGCGTACTGGCCGGTGGGAGGCTATTGGTGGTAGCAGGCGGTCCCGTAGATAACCAGGTCCTAAGCCATGGAGCGCTTTAAAGGTGATAACCAGAACCTTGAAGCACACTCAGAAGACCACCAGGAGCCAGTGCAGCTCGCGCAGGAGAGGTGTTACATGGGAACTCCGCGTCGCTCCCATAACCACCCGCTTAGCCTAGCTCAGGGTATTTGAAAAGTTTGGTCTTAAATAATTAAGTTACCATTCAAGATTTTCAATACAACATCATCGCTGATCTTACAGGCACCTGTGAAACTGCCTATACAAGTAGTTCTTGTTTAACAACTGCCTCATTTAGCGATCATTTGCAATTCAGCGGTGACGGAAAAAGTAACTTTACAACTAATCCGTGCAATTATGACTTTTTCAGCTCTGATCTGTAAAGCAAAGGAAAGCTGAAGTAACAACATAAGCACACAGTTATGGTTTCACTTAATAATTGCTTTGCTTAATGACCAAATTGCGAGTTCCAGTTGTTGTCACTAAACAAGGACTGCCTTTAGTTTTTGTTTTACTAATTTTTTATAGAAGTCTGAGGTTGCAGACCTGTTGTGACAAGTCTTGGGCCTCCCAGGTTGAAAGGGGTTTAGAAGTATTTAATTTTAGAATTGTGTGTTTTTAGTTATGCTACCTATCTAAAGATTGCTGCCAGTGTTGTTACAACAACCAAAGATCCAAGAAAGGAAAGGAAGTTTTGGGCACGAAGACTATGATTTTTCCTCCACATTTTCAGTGTTTATCTGTCTAAAAACAATACAGTGAAATTTCATATACAGTAACAGGCTATTCGAGGGAAGGGGGAATTTGTTAAATATGAATGTATATTATTTGGATCAATTGACATCATTTGGATCAATATGCAATCACATAAGTGACACACAATAAATTACGGTAAACCTAGTGACATAATTTATATAAATTGTCTGGTTTGAGAAATAGAACTTGTCAAAGGCAGGGAGATCTGGATGCTTGGTCAATATAAATTACATTATGCTTAATACCATTTCTGTTTTCAAAATACCTTTTACATTAAACAAAATGCTAAATGAACATTTGGGTAGTCTACAGAAGTTTGTACTCAAAGCTACTGGTATGCGATGAATTTTTAAGATTCATTAAAATGCTTTATGTATTTAAAATGTGTCTTAAGAAAATTAAATATGGTTTGTCTAATCCTCATAGGAATTCTAAGCATAATCAGTCTGATATGCTTCTGCTTACTGCATTATATAATCTGCTACCACCTCAGAATAACAAAAATACTTACATTTGAATGGCTATAAGTATTTTCTCAGGATTTGTTGGCTGTAGGATATGAATTCAACAAACCATTGCAGCTATGGAAAGAAAAAACACCCTGAAACTTGTAGTTTAATAAAAAAAATTGTGGTTTGCTGCAAGAACTATTTTTCTATTAACAGGAAGTGAAACAGATTTAACTTTAGACTGCAGTTTTCACATTTAGACAAAATGGTTGCAGAAAAAACAGCTTCTTTTTTTACGGGGTAGATTGATAGCAAAACGTATAATGCTAAAATACTGACAACTTCAGCTGATACTAATTGATGGAAGTGTTTTAATATAAGAATGAGGAAAATGTGACTGCAGAGCAAATCACTGTAATATTGTAAATCAAGCTTTTAGTCTGATTGTCTTTAGGAAAGAGAGAGTATAGAACATATCTGAGTTAGATAATATTACATTTTGTATTGATCAAATTGCTGACTAAATCTTAGCAATAGGATAACTGGATTGATATATGGCATTCCTCACCACCCCCATAATTCATTTCCTTTCAGAAAAGTACTTTTTAGAACCTGAAAACTCCTCCATGCTGCTATTAGACGTAAGAATAATGTATGGAGCAGCAACAATATGCAGCCAAGAGAAACGATTCATTTCTTTCCCTTACCACCCTTCCCAATAACAGTTTAAAGTACCTGGTGTTGGATTGAAAGTCTTGTTTACTTGTTCTTTTTGGCTAGTCCCCAAAGAAAAGGATGATCTACTTAATAATGCCTAAGTCAGTGTTTCTGAACCTCAGCATCTTTAAGATGTGAGGACTTCAACTCCCAGAATTCCTCAGCTAGCATGGAGAATTCTAGGAATTGAAGTCCACGAATCTTTTTGAGGTTCAGAAACACTGATCTGGACCAGTGGCGAACCGGTAGTAAAAAAAAAGCTACCGATTCGTATGAACCGGTATTTCCAACGATCAGCTGTACCGTGCGGTTTATATTCTAAATCGCTCGGCACAGCTGTTTCCCCCCCTCTCGCTGTTCTACTTACCTAGTGAAGACTTCTTTTTCCGCGCAAAACGCGCATTTGGCATGCACCGCATGCAGTGTGCTTTTTGCATATGCTGTGCATGCGCGCATACTTTTTCCGCGCACCACGCATGCGCGGGCAGCAAACCGGTGGTGATCCGCAGAGGATTTCACCACTGATCTGGACCATGTTTTATTTACAACCTTCACACCAAACTTTCTACTTTTCAAACTGTAGATCAAATTTACTTTCTCTCTGCAACTTACAATATATTTTTTGGGAAGCAATGGGAATAAACTGCAGCCTCAATATTCCTCAATATTCTGTGTTGGAAATATTTAATACATGTATATCTTCCATCTATTCCCCAATAGGATACATCTAAGTCTTTTGGAATATTATTTATCATATGCTGCCTATCTCACAAAATGTCTGCAGTAAAACCATGAAAACAATTATTACAAAAAACACGCTGCCATTAAGACATTATTATAAAAGATTGAATATGAACTCTCAGGTGTCTTCACACCAAAATCTTTTCTCTTTCTAAAGCTTTTCCATGTCTGAGGTGCCCTGACTTTTTTTGGGGGGGGGGGGTATGTAACTAGATGTTAGCACTGAAAGTTAGGTCATCCAGTTCTTAAGCACGCTGGTGGAGGAATAATAAAAATTGCCTTTAAGCTTCTTGTTTTTGGTTTACTTCCTTGATTCTGTAGCACGTAGGAGTTTTGGACTTTTCTTATTTTTTTTTCCCTTCAAGGAACTCTGGATGGTCCACATTATTGTTCCTCTTTTCTCTGAATTTTATCTTTTATGACAAACTTATGAAGTAGATTAGACTGAGAATTTGAGACTGATCTTCACAAGCATCATAGCTAAATGGAGATTTTTGAATCTAGATTTCTCCCCTGGCAATGCCATAGTAGATATCTTGGTCCAAATAGGACAGATGACCTAGAAACTTGCTCTTTGAAACATTGACATGCAAAGATGTTTGTGCCTTTATCTTATCTTAGCTTTCTGTCCCATATCATCCTATTTCTTTAAACAAAAGTAGATTGACTGGATTTTCAGTCAAGTCATATCTTTTGCTCTCTAAAACTACAAATTTATTATAAATTATAATGGAGAAAGGGGGAATAGTTGCTCATGAATTTTATTGATTTTTATTCCATTATTATTTTTACAAATAACACAAGGCGGCAAACATACTTGATACTCCTTCCTCCTCCTCTTTTTCCCACCACAACCCTGTGAAGTGGGCTGAGCTGAGAGAGAGTGACTGAGAGAGAGCGCATGGTCATCCAGCCAGTTCTCATGCTTAAGGTGGGACTAGAACTCACAGTCTCCTGCTTTCTAGCTTGATTCCTTCACCACTAGATCAAATATGGCTCAGTTTGTAACCATATAGGTTATTTGTATTCCCCCAATAGGTTTCATTGCAACAAAGGTGAGATTGACGTCTAGAAGATGCCTGTTCCGCCTCCTCCAGCTCCGCCCCCTCCACCAACATTTTCGCAGGTAAGTTACAATTTAAAAAATAAAAATAATGGAAGAGAGACGAAACTTGATCATCCTAGCTTGTCCTGTGAAAATAAAGCATGTTTTAGACTAGAATGATAGGCAGACAGATTTTCATTTTTTTTGTTGGTTTTGTTGTTTGTTCAGTTGGCTGTTTTTTGTTGTTTTTCATATAGTTCTCTTTTAGCTTTTTGTTCTTTTTTTTTGGTGCTTTCTGAAAAACTTGCTAAGATAAATAACATTATTAAGGTTTCAACTACTATGCATATCAGAGTAACAGAATTGGAAGGGGCCTTGGAAGTCTTCTAAATTCTAATCCAACCCCCTGCTCCAGCAGGAAATCCTATACCATTTCATACAAATGGTTGTCCAATTTCTTAAAAACCTCCAGTATTAGAGCACCTACAACTTCTGGAAGCAATATCAGGTGCCTTTGGGGATCAAAGTCTAGTCATAAAAGCTTGCTGTCTTGAGTTATCCTGATTTACAATGAAACAGTGTGGCATTAGGGTTAAAGATTTGAAGAAGGAGCACGGAATCATCCATGGACGCTGATTGGGTGACTTTGGGCCAGTCGTGCTTTCTCCTTCTCACTCTCTTAGCCCAGTTATTCTCAGGGAGGTTGTTGTGAATTTAGCTAGATCTTCTACTGTGGATTTATATAGAAGGACATACTGATAAAAAAAATAGAATAAAAATAGATTATGCTACTATGATGTAGACCTTAGATCAGGGGTGTCAAACTCGATTTCATTGAGGGCTGCATCAGATTTGTGTTTGACCTTGGGGGGGCTGGGGGGGGCAGCATGTCACTTGTGTTGCGGGGCACCTGTGGTGGCCCGAGTGCTCCGCCAGTGAAAACGGGCTCCCGAGCTCCGTTTTTGGGTGCAATGGCCTCCTACAACCCTCTGCCAGTGAAAATGGAGCTTGGGGAGCCACATGTGGCCCTTGCAAGCTCCGTTTTCATTGGCAGAGGCACTGCGGGTCGGTCCTTCACTACTTCCAGGAGGGCCCAGCGGGCCAGATCTGAGCACTCCATGGGCCAGATCCAGCTGCTGGGCCTTGACTTTGACACCTCTGCCTTAGATGATTCCTAACCGGGTTCATACATCAAGACATGAAATGTTTTGTTTGTTAAACAAACAAATGTGATAGGCAAATCAGGCTACTAAGTTTCCTCAACAAAGCTTTGTTGGGAAAAAAATCCTGGCTTAGCAGATGTGCTCAGCTTTGTGATGATTAAAATAAATCATATATACAGGATAAATTACAATGGCACTCAACTGGCATTTATTTTGGGAAAGGATCAAAAATAATCCCCTACTACTCCTGAGTTAGTTAAAATCATGCTACATTTATGAAAGTTAACAAAGAGGCAACCTTGCAAATGTAGGTATGGAATTGGGACCCACTCAGTGCTTCCCATAGAGATAGATTCAGCATCTCTGTAATAAGTTCCATGTCTCTCTGGGGCAGCGTTTAAGGTAGTCACTAAACATCTGGAATATGTTTTGGAGGAGTGAACATATTCAACACATTTACCCACTACTTCTCCATTCTCATTTATCTGTTTACCCATGAAAGGGGATACTATGATTTGCTTAAGCATGTTTTGCTGAACTTGTTAAACAATTGGCTAGGTTTGTAAAATGTACTCAGTCAGGCATCCACAACCTCTTTTGTCTGGTGTGTATGTTTAAAATATTCAGAGCATGTAAAGGGTTGCTAGGGTGAATGGTTATGATTTACAAAATAATCAACAACAGGGCATGTAATTAAGTGCACAGTAGTCCAACCCCCTGCTCAGGCAGAAAGCCCTATACCATTTCAGACAAGTGGCTGTCCAATCTCTTCTTAAAAACCTCCAGTGTTGGAGCATCCAAAACTTCTGGAGGCAAGTTGTTCCACTGATTGTTCTAAGTGTCAGGAAATTTCTCCTTAGTTCTAGGTTGCTTCTCTCCTTGATTAATTTCAATCTGTCCTGCCTTCAGGAGCTTTGGAGAATAGGTTGAGTCCAGTGGTGGGTTTCAAATTTTTTTACTATCGATTCTGTGGGCGTGGCTTAGTGGGCGCGGTGTAGCTTGGGCGCGCTTGGTGGGCGTGGCAGGGGAAGGATACTGTAAAATCTCCATTCCCTCCCCAATCCAGGGGAAGGTTACTGCAAAATCCCCATTTCCTCCCGATCAGCTGGGACTTGGGAGGCAGAGAATAGATGGGGGCGGGGCCAGTCAGAATTTTTACTACTGGTTCTCCGAACTACTCAAAATTTCCACTACCGGTTCTCCAGAACTGGTCAGAACCTGCTGAAACCCACCTCTGGTTGACTCCCTCTTCTTTGTGGCAACCTCTGAGAAATTGGAACACTGCTATCATGTAAATATAATAGAAATTTAACACCACAACAAAGCACAAGAACATTGTGCAAAATTTACACTGAAGATGGGAGATAGTGGTAGGTAGTAAAATATACTTTGGTTAAATTTTGAACAAACATGAGTCAGCTTTTAAGACATTTGAGAAAATTTAAGCTGTTTCATCTTACCCTTGCAAATATTTTCATATGTTTATATTAAATTTTATTATAGGCTGGTATTTCTGTTAAGAAAATATAGTTTAGATTTTCTAGCAGTACACAGCATATTTTAAACATAGGTTGCAAGTTTAAGAAATTGGAAATAGCTACACAGCTGTTTGAACTGGCAAATGAAAAATCTTCAAGTGGTTTTAATAAAAAGTATTGTAATCAACAATTTTGCTCCTCTACAAATAAAGCCAGGAAATCCTATGAGATTATCCACTAATCTAAAAGTGTTAGTTTATAGAAAATAAGTTATGCAAACATGTCTTTCCAAATTAGCAATTTTTTTAAAATGTAGCTTCCTCACAGGCTTATTTGTACTCGAATTTGATTGTCTGCTTTCATTTAAGTCCCTAGACATTCAGAGATGGATGAGTAACTGGGCTGGGCGTATTTTTACTACATTCTTGTTTGTTAGTTAGTAAGTTTATAACATTTATATAGCTGCCCTTCTTATATAAAATTGCATCTTTAGAGGCCACATATCTACCATTTATGCTACATGCATTTTACTTCAGGAAAAGAAATTTCCAGAGTTAGTTAATTAGCTGAGCTTCTCATTCATAAATAATGATCAGTCTAGAGGTATTCTCATTCTGGAGAAGCAATGTGATACCTATACACCAGAGGTGTCAAACTCAATTTCATTGAGGGCCACATCAGGGTTTTGTTTGACCTTGGGGGGGCATGGCCAGAGTGGGTGTGGCCAGCTCAACTTCACTCATCAAGGCTCCGTTTTCAGCCATGACAGCCTCCTGCTCCATTTTTGCTGATAGAGGGTGCAGGAGGCCGTCATGGCTGAAAACATAGCCCCGGGAGGCTGCACGCGACCTCCCCAAGCTCTGTTTTCGTTGGCAGAGGGCTGCAGGAGGCCGTTGTGGCCAAAGACTGAGCGCAGCCTCTCCGGCTCCATTTTTGTTGGCAGAGGCACATTGGGCTGGTCCTTCACTGTTTCCAGGGCCAGATCTAAGCACCCTGTGGGCCAGATCTGGCCCTTAGACCTTGAGTTTGACACCCCTGCTATACACCAAAGCACAGAAAAAGAGTAAGAAATAATAAGCCAAGCAATTTGAAGGCATGATATAAAAGGAAAGAAAAGGAATCTAATTAAATCTAGTTTACACCAATACATTTCATTATATTGCTCCAGTAGTAAAATCCAAATTCTTTTACTATCGGTTTTGTGGGGGCGTGATGTGGCTTGGTGGGCGTGGCAGGGGAAGAATACTGCAAAATCTCCATTCCCTCCCCACTCCAGGGGAAGGATACTGCAAAATCCTCATTCTCTCCCCACTCATTCCCTCCCCACTCCTGGGGACAGGATATTGCAAAAACTCCATTCCCATCCCACTCTGGGGCCAGCCAGAGGTGGTATTTGCCAGTTCTCTGAACTATTCAAAATTTCCGCTACTGGTTTCCCGAACTACTCAAAATTTACCGGTTCTCCAGAACCTGTCAGAACCTGCTGGATTTCACCCCTGTATTACTCCACATATTTCTGTCCTTCTTTCCATCATGTCTCTGTACCACTTCATGTATTGTCTTTTGTTGTTATTTTTCTCACCTCCCCCTTTTTGAGGATGTCATTAGTTCATTCCCAACATGACTTTCTTTTATCATGTTAAAGACAACTGGTTTAGTCTTTAATACATTCATTTTTAGAGAAAAAAATCATTTCTTTTTTGCTTCATAGGATCTATTTAATGTTTGCTGCTAATCATTTGAGTTCTTAATCACCTACATAGCATCGTTTCCCTACAAAATGGATACACATCCATGTTCCCAACTCACACAGGTCTAATATCACCATGAACATGAATGTACATTTAGCCGTAATATTAATTAATCTACCGGGGGGAAATGACTCAGCCTTGTCTTTCACCCTGCTTAGAGTTGAGCCATTGGTTAAGTATTCAGTTTATTCACCTGTATTCCCCTGTACCACATATATCAGCCCACATTCATCTACATATTTGTGCAAAATATTCCATTCTTCCAGCTGATTCATTTTTGTAATGTCTTCTCTGTGTACAATGCAACTTTTTCATATCTATATACTTCTATAACCTTCCGAAAGACAAAAAAATGTGTGTAAATCATTGTCCCAGGCTGAATACATTGATGGCTGATGCCAAGCTTGGTTTATGCCAGTAATCCTACCATCAGATGTAGGTCTAGGACAGTGATGGCTAACATTTTTGCCATTGTGTGCCGAAAGTGGGGGGAGCGCAGGGGGCTTTTGGCATGCGATGGTACGGTGGGCCCGGTAGGCCCGTTTTTCGCCCTCCCCAGGCACCAGAGCCTTTCTAGGAGCCTGAGGAGGGCAAAAACGGCCTTCCCCACCCCCCTGGAGGCCAGAAGGCCAGAAACAGCCTGTTTCCTGACTTCTGGTGGGTCCAGAAGGCCTGAAAATTAGCTGGCCAAGGCGCGCATGCATGCTGGACCTGAGCTAGGGCAACGCTCGTGTGCCTACCGATATGGCTCCGCGTGCCATAGATTCGCCATCACGGGTCTAGGACAGCTCTTCAGTCAATTCGTCATGGAACAACTCATCATGGCCAATTCTTTGTGGGACAATATGCCATGGAACAAGAGTTACATTAATATCAAAGGAATTGTGGAATATAATCATTAAAGAAAGGATGTCAAAGGAGGGACAAAATGAAATGTGAATGACAAAAATTAAAATAATTTTAAAATAATTTTAAATAATTAAATTGTTGAATTGTTCTGCGGTGAGTTGTCTGGTAGCGAGTTGACCATGGTGAGTTGTCCTGTGGCGAATTGGCTGTGGTGAGTTAGCCGTGGTCAATTGGTCGTGGTGAGTTGGCTGCAGCGAGTTGTCCCATTCCGATCAGATGCTGCCCTATCAACCATGATACTAAAAAGTATCCACTGGAAGGAATCCTTAAATATCATTTTTCTTTATCTTTTACTGTGTATTCATCCATCTTTTTTATCAAACCATTTACCAATTTTTCTTGAAATGCTGTTTTTGAAATAAATTACGGGTGCAACCTCTCTTCATATCATTTTCCATATACACATGTAGCCAAACATTGTTTGATGAACCTCACTCCAAACATGCATTCTGAAATGATACATTTTGTTGTGTGATGGTAAGATATTTAAGCAGAGGAAAATAAAAATATTTCAATACTGGGTTTTTTTTTTGGAGTGAAGCTTGGCAAATTTCTTCTGTACTCCTTGCTACTGAGAAAAATGGCTTGAAGTCTTTCTAGACTTAGCTTGACTCAAATAAGTCTTTAGCTTTAAATTGCTACTACTTTAAATTAGTAACTATGATTCAAGGCTACGTGGATTTGTGGAAAGACATGATAGTTTTAAAGATGTCTTACTAAAATACATAAAAAGCCAAAATGCTAGCAATTGTTGTTGAACAAGATGCAGAAGTGGGTTTCAGCAGGTTCTGACCAGTTCTGGAGAACCGGTAGCAGAAATTTTGAGTAGTTCGGAGAACCAGTAGTAAAAATTCTGACTGGCCCCGCCCACATCTATTCTCTGCCTCCTGAGTCCCAGCTGATTGGGAGGAAATGGGGATTTTGCAGTAACCTTCCCCTGGAGTGGGGTGGGAATGGAGATTTTACAGTATCCTTCCCCTACCATGCCCACCAAGCCATGCCACGCCCACCAAGCCACACCCACAGAACCAGTAGTAAAAAATGTTGAAACCCACCACTGATAAGATGTGATATATGTTCTCCATCCCCAGGCTGTGCTGATGGAGAGTAGGCACACTATGTAGCACTGTTGATACCAATCAGAATTTGGAAGTTACTCCATTTAACCCAGCCCTCACGGAATTGTAATTTGAAAGGTATAAAATCTGATCCAGCTAAGTGTTTCATGGATGTGCAAGCAACAAAGCTCTATAGGAAATCATGAAGCTCTGATGCAAAAAAACGTGCTGGTTTCAGGAAGAAATATTCTGATTGAAGTGCTTCTGTCCTCGTTCTAATATTTTGTATTTTTACTTTGCAGGCAAACGTAGAGAAGCCTAGTTTGAATAAATCAGAGCAGGCAGGACGAAATGCTTTATTGTCGGATATTTCCAAAGGGAAAAGGCTGAAAAAGGCTGTTACCAATGATAGGAGTGCCCCAGTTCTTGATAGTAAGTATTTCCTTCTAGTCAATGGAATGGCTGAGCCTGTGAGCCTGAACTCTGGAGGCATCACACCTTCCTTCTCAGAGGCCCCCTGGGTCTTCTTGTCCTGGCCCTGCCTCCTGCTTTGGAAGAGTCCCTTGATAGTTGTCTCTGCTACCATCTGTCTCCCAGGGATACGGTGTACTTTCCCCTAACCATTGATAATTTTAAAAAAAGCATTGGAGAGAAACTTCTTATTCCAAGTCATAAAGACTCTAAAAAAGGAATATTAGTCCTGCACCAATGAAGATTTGTATAAACGGTTAAAATATACTCAATTACAGAGTTTACATAGAAAACAAGATAGAAAATTTAAACATCAAGAGGGAAATAAACAACAGTTCTAATGCAAATTCCACCTTGGCCTTGTGATCTGTTTCTTCAGAAATATAACCCTCTTCAAAAAAGATATTTTAGTTTCAGTTTCTTGTACTTCCTTTTTTCTTGAAAATTACACTTTAATCTGAACTCTGAAGAACAATGTAAAAGCCTTCATTTCTCAGCCTCGACGTTCAGCAGATTTTAAAAACAAACAAAAATATTATGCCCTGCATGACAAATAAAGCATTTCTCCTTCGACAAGATGTGGATGGAGATATCTAAATTGGCACAATAGCCGTCTATGGCAGGGGTGTCAAATTGGCGGCCTGTGGCTGGATGCATCACATGTAGGCCACACCCACCCCAGCTCCGCAAAGGCAAAAAACATTGCAAACCATCACGTAACGCGATCGAGTTTGACACCCATGGTCTATGGGAATCTGAGCCTGCACTCTGTGCATTCACAACAAACACTCCAATATATGAGAGAAATATGGTTTTCAGTTTTCTCAGAACCAGTCTGTTTTGCCTTTCTAGCAATAAAAATATCAAATATGTAAAACTTGAAATAATTTATATAGTAACTCCCTCAGTTTCCACGTGTGTAACTGGAGGTTCCAACCATTCCTCTGTCTTTAAAGGGCAGACCAATGTCACCTAACAGAAACAGAATGAAAATGTCATTAAAAGAAGAAGACAAATATAGCCTTTACATTTTAAATATCTGTAATGCAACCATTTAATAGTGAAACAGGTAAATTACCCAGTTGTTCATATCATAGAAAAACAGCCACATAAATAAAAAGAAGAAAATGCTCCCAGCAGACCACAAGATGTTGCTGGTCTACAATAAATAGGATTTCTCAGTCCCAAAGCCCCAGTAAAAAGATGGGAAATTTTCTATTATTATTATTGTTACTACCATTATCATTATCATCATCCTTAAAAGGTATTAATTGGTTTGAATTAGCTCTGAAATATAATTCTAAAGCTGACAAAAAACAGAATTTCCTATTTTTTACTGAAATAATTTATTCTAAGATCGAATCAAAGAAATTCTGTTGGTGTTCTTAGATTTCCTTTTACCTAGAAATAAATGCCAGACATTAATCTGAAGTTGTGGGGAGATTTTATTCATAACAATCTGTATGTAGCCGTTCCAAGGACTTCAATTTACATGATTTCCAGCCTTCATGATGAAAGATATAGTGACTACTAGCTGAACATTATGAGAATTGAAGTCCAACACAGCTGCAAGGGACCGGATGGGGAGAGGTTAATGTGGTGAGTTAGCATCACAGACTTAAATAAATAATAATTGCTGTACACTAAACTAAACTTCTATTAACTAAAAATTCTTAATTAATATGGTTATGATATAAAGGCTTGGAGTCTAAAGCAATTTTCTGTTTAGGGACAGGGTGGTTATTATTTAATTTAAGCTAGATATAAATAGCCAAAGTACGGTATTTGTGGATTCAGAATCGTGATTTAAGAACCCTTCAATTTTCCTCTCTTTGCAGAACCAAAAGGGCCAAGTGGTGGCGGAGGTGGCAGCTCTGGTTTCTCCAGTGGTAGCTGTGGCAGCAGTAACAGCGGTAACAGTTATGGTGGCGGTGGACCTCCTGGCTTAGGAGGATTGTTCCAAGCAGGGATGCCAAAACTTAGATCTACAAACAGAGATAATGGTAAGGGGGAGGTGTGCTATCAAGGCAGCTGCATTCCTAGAAACACAGTACCTTGGACTGACTATACTTAATACTATTAAATCTGTGAAGCCAAAAACTCAAGAAAACATTCTTCTCCTATCACAAAAGAACAGTGGTTTCTCTCAAGCAAGATATTTAACTTCCTGTGTGCTGCAGGCACAACAAGGAAGGGGCGTTGCATCATTTCCGAGCTGAAAAAACCCACAGGTTTGTCTCAAAGTGTCACAAGAGTCTTCGCTTTTGGTCTATGTTGAGTTATACAGTTGTTAATAGATCATGTGCACTTGAAACTGAACATTGTTCCTTTACCCGACCCTAGATTTTCTTGGCACAATTGCTGGGTTTTTTCCCCTTTTTGTTATCAGGCGTAGAAGTATGGAAACAACACATAAATCCTTTTTTTAAAAAAATGTTGACTCAGTATTCACCACTTAGGCATGTCTCCACTTGCACCTAACCACAGTCCTAATATGCCCTGACATTTTTTTTTCTCTGCGGGGTTCCCATGGTGCTCTCCAAACCCTTAATGGCAAGGTTAAGCCATCTATAGCTGTTATGTAGCATTCCCCCCACCCCACACACAAACTTGAATGATTATGTGGCATTAAGTCATTATTGATTCTTGGCAAGATAGACTTCCTCTATGACAATCTGTCCCTAACCTAGTCCTTCAAGCCTTCAAATGAGGCACCCATTCCTACTCTAGAGAGCTAAGTCCTCACATAATATGTCCAAAGTAGGGTAGTTTAAGGCTGGCCATTTGCGTCAACATTATTCAAAGTCAACTTTAGATTGTATGAAATCTATTAGGTTTTATTGCCCATTACCAAGGAGGAAACTAGAAATAGAGGTGGCAGTTGGAAGAGGGATTGGCAGTGGGAACAGCCTGTCTTATGCCATTATAGTTTTCTGCTGACTCAAGGGTAGCTAGAAAATACTTTTTAACTCAGTTGTATGGAAAGGTATTAGGCCAAGATATTTAGGGTTCACCGTTACTTTTTTTCCTGCCTCTCCCCTATCTAGAGAATCGTATTTAGTTGCTCCATTGCATTCAGGTTCTTGCCTATTTATTTTATTCATCAATAATTTATACCCTGCTTTGCAAAGTTCAAGATGCTAGCCATGAAATTTTTCTGTTTTATCTATACAATAATTCTGTGAGCTTGGATAAGTGATTTGTCCAATTTATCAATCAACCCGAAGTCCATCAATTCAGACCCATAATAGTGTATTCTCCAGGCTGCACTGATTTATTTAATAGGTTGGAGTTATATAGTATATTAGTTGGATTTGCATATCAGACCAAACCATAATGCTGGTTTGATTTGGATTTAGCATGTTGTATATAAAATCTTAATTTTACTTAATTTTACATACTTCATTATAACTTAATGAAGTATGTGCAATGATTTAGTATGACATGGTTTAGTATGACATGTAGACCAGTCAGGAAATTGTGAAAGTTAATATAATAATAATTTTCCATTAGGCTGTCTTTTATTTAATTGTTTTCATTATGCTGGTATCAAATTTTGGAACAGCATGCCTGAAAAAGAGTGATATGTTTATTTTAGTTATTTAAGATGCTTATTCACCAACTCTCGTTTTAAAAAGTCCAACAGCATTTTATAATAGCAGTATAAAATTACAAGATGGCAAAATATATATATATAAACAGTGCACAGATTTCTGCAAAGCAATATGCATTGTACCACATGATTTATTGTTTTCTTGACACTTCAATACATTTCTTGGCCAGAGAATATAAACCAGGGAGTTTACAGGAAGACAGAATTGTACCTTCTTTGTTTGCAAGCATATGAATGAAGTAGCACTGTTAAAATACCTAAAGTGCACTTTGAACAAGTGGTGATATAACAGTTGTTCAAAGCCAGCATTATCTCTTATGTCAAAGCAGCTTTTTATAGATCTTCCTTTTAATCTCATAGCACTTAACATGCCAGAGTTTCTTTGAGAGGTTGCCTGTTTTCCTTCAGGAAGTTTAGGAATAGTCCAGAAATGCCTTTGCCCTTCCCTCTTGTTTTATAGTATATTGAATGTAGAAGTTTTCTTCAAGAGCTACAAAGCAGATCTAATTATGCTTACTGAAATTAACATAGAGAGGGTAATAACACGAAATAAATGGAGCCTCGTTCAAATACGAAGTGAAAACTCTTATACAGTTGTAGATTTTTTCTCTCTGTAATCTGGCTTGTATTAGCCGTTCCTGGCAGCAAATCAGCTTTTCCAACCTGATAACTTCCAGACGTTTTGGACTGTTACAAGCCCTAACATCCACAATGGCTTTTGGGCTCAGGATTATTGGAATTGAAGTTCAGTATGATTGGAAGTGCCTGAATGAGTAAGATTGCCAGTTGGGATATATATTAAGAGGAAGGAGCTGTTGATTTATATTTCCATCTTTTCGACATTATAGGTCAAAATTGATTATACAAAATCCCCCAGATACAATTTATTTCCCCTTCTACACACCTCTGTATGTGGATCTACTAATTGCTTTCTATTTTTAGATTCTGCAGGAAACAAAGCTCCAGTGTTTCCACCAGGAGGGCGAGCAACATCCGCAAAGCCTTTTTCACCTCCAAGTGGAGTAGGCAGATTTCCGGGTCCTTCTGGACTAAGAGCTCCAGTTCCAGAGCCACAGAGAAACCGAATGCCTCCCTCAAGACCTGACTTTGGCTCCCGGCCTGACACGGGTGCTCCTCCTGTGCCAAATACTCCAAGACCTATTCCATCTAGTCTGTACAACAGGGGACCACCCCCTGTGCCTGGGGCCAGCAGACAAGCGAGTTTAGGGCTTACCCCTCCACCTTTCCCAGGTAATAGAAATTTAGGGCCTGGAGGATCCATTCGACAATCATCACCAGTTAGTCCTCCTTCTCCCTTCTCAAACAGGCCTCCTCTCCCTCCAGTACCAGGTAGGCCAACAGAAGATAAGACACCTCCACCATTACCTCCAAGTGGAAACAGGCCATCTTTTGGCAGGGAGGCTTCCCTACCACCTCCCCCGCCCCAAAACCACAAACCACCAATTCCTTCCACACCACGGCCACCTGCAGGATCTCAGGTACCTCCTCCTCTTCCCCCAAGTCGGCCAGGCCCACCTCCAGTTCCACCGGCATCTGGCGGAAATGATGAAATGCCACGGCTTCCTCAAAGGAACCTATCGCTAGGCTCTTCTCAACCTCCATGTCTGCCTGGCTCCAATCGTCCTGGACCTCCGCTTCCCCCCCCAGTTGAGAGACCACCGCCTCCTGTAAGGGACCCGCCTAGCAGATCAGGTAAGATTATCTGAGCAAAAATTACTACAAAATGTAAAGCCATATTCTGAATGCAGGGTTATGCAATATATATATCCATACATAAATAGTGTGAGGGCAAAGGGTGAGGGACAGAAAAAGCTGCTACCAAGAACATGGTCATATGAAAAAAACAATGAGTCCACGGAAGCCATGTAACCTAACAAAACCCTCCCTAGTTATCACAAAGATAAAGGGAGGAAGAGAGAAGCAAATTTATACTTGCAAGATTTGTTATGGCTTTGCAGTAAAAAATACTAATCACCTATATGGCATTGGATTCCTAGTCTGATCTACCTGAATATGGATGGAGGGATGGGATGGATGGATATTGTTCTTAATGTTCTCTGAGCTTGTTTCTTTGCTGTTTCGTTATTGGGCCAGGTAACAACATGGAGGGTGGAATTCACTAGCTGTATATGTATAGTAGCTTGTCTTACCAGCCTTGATTGTTCTTTTTTATCTGGTTCCAGTACTTGCCTATCTGACTGTTGGTTAAAAGATGTGAAAAGAGGGATAAGAGGGTTTAAGTCTGTTTGCCTCTTTTCTTCATCTTTTGATTGCTTTCTTTCTGAAATGGATTGTAGGCAGAGCTTATCTCAGTGTTTTTGTTTATGACTGCTTTGTAGGAAAATTCAGCCTCCTATAGGAAGAATTCCTCCTTTAGGAGTTCCCTTGCATTTTTGGATTTGGCTTAGTGTAGGATACATACTGTTTTCTAACTGAAACTCTGGCTGAACTTTTCAGCATGTTGTAAACTTAAGATACATGATAGTTATGTCTTATGATTGCCAGTTGATGTTCATGGAAGCTTTCTCAAACTGAGAATTCAATCTCTGCCTCTTTGCCCCAAGCAGAATTAGATATATGTGTGTGTGAGAAGCTACCTAGGAAATAATCAGACGAGTGGCAGGAGCCCCCAGGCTTAATGATTGGAGAAAGAAGCTTAGGAAATTTAGGAAGAACCCACTTTAATGGATTAAGCAATTTAAAATGGCAACCTTGTACCTTAAGGCTTGCAAGATTCTGTTGATGTAGCCTTACAATAAAGTAGAATGATTTCATCTAGTTGTGTTCCCTGTCTGGTTTACCTGGGAGGGATAATGGCATTTGCTTATAGCTTATGAGAAAAATGGATGTGTTTTTCCAAAATAAGGCACTGGAGTGGGGGCTTGTTTGGAGGTTTGAGAAGAATGATTGGCTCTGGCAAAAATGTACAGTCAGTAACTACTTTTTGTTCAGGGATGCGGTGGTGTCAGTGTCTTAGCCACTGAGCTTGTTGATTGAAAGATTGGCAGTTCAGCGGTTCGAATCCCTAGTGCTGCGTAATGGGGTGAGCTCCCATAACTTGTCCAGGAGTGGGTTTTATTTACCTTTACTACCAGTTCGCAACGGGGCTGCACGCATGCGCAGAAGCTTCCTGATGACATCGAGGTCGGTGGGCGGAGCCTCCTGCCAGCTTTACTACCGGTTCTATAGAACCGGTCCGAACTGGGGCAAGCCACCACTGATCTTGTCCCAGCTTCTGCCAACCTAGCAGTTTGAAAGCACATAAGAAATGCAAGTAGAAAAATAGGGACCACCTTTGGTGGGAAGGTAACAGCGTTCCGTGTGTCTTTGGTGTTTAGTCATGCTGGCCACATGACCATGGAGACATCTTCAGACAATGCTGGCCCTTCAGCTTTGAAATGGAGATGAGCACCGCCCCCTAGAGTCGGGAACGACTAGCACATATGTGTGAGGGAAACCTTTACCTTTACTTTTTGTTCCCATTATTTTCAGGATCTCTCCCCCCACCCCCACCTCTGCTAACCAGAAACGGAAGTACTTCCAGGGCACTGCCAGCTACTCCCCAGCTTCCCTCAAGAGGAGGATTTGAAAAACCCAGAGGTGGGGCTGTGCCCCCACCTCCTCCTGACAGGCCAGGTTCTGGAGCACCCCCACCCCCTCCTCCATCACTCCCGTCATCTGTCCTCCGAAATGGCTTCCAGGATTCATCCTGTGATGGTGAGTGATGGTATTCCTGTTTTGACATTGTCTGAATGCCTAGTTTCCAATCTGTCAGTGGAATGGTGGAAAAATATGATTTGTGAGCCTCACACGTACAATAGCAGGTATGGAGAGTCTCGCTATACAGTTGGAAGAACTTTCTTGCCTTCTGGAAGGAACTCAGCATTCCTTAGAGCAAGAGAATAATTTTCCATATACACTGGACTCTTGCAGACATAAAAAACCAGAAGGGAAATAAAGGGTCCCAATCATTGAGGCTTCTGGAGAATCAACTTGTCTTGAGTTTATAGGAGAAGAAGCATAAACAGATAAGCGATTAGCCACCATCCTGTTCATTTTGGTTGTTCATCTCCAATTTATATTTGGACGAGGATTTGGAAGAGGGGATAGATGGGGAACTCATCAGATTTGCAGACAACACCAAGCTAGCAGGAATAGCCAACACTCCAGAAGATAGGCTTAAGATACAGAAGGATCTTGACAGATTTGAACATTGGGAGCTAACAAAATGAAATTCAATGGTGAAAAAAGTAAGATTCTACATTTAGGCAAGAAAAACAAAATGCACAGGTACAGTCTATGTGGTACCTTGCTCAATAGTAGTAACTGTGAGAAGGATCTTGGAGTCCTAGTGGACAACCATTTAAATATGAGCCAGCAGTGTGCAGCAGCTGCCAAAAAAGCCAACACAGTTCTAGGCTGCATAAGCAGAGAGATAGAATCAAGATCACATGAAGTGTTAATACCATTTTATAATGCCTTGGTAAGGCCACACTTGGAATACTGCATCCAATTTTGGTCGCCACGATGTAAAAAAGATGTTGAGACTCTAAAAAGAGTGTAGAGAAGAGCAAGACAGGGGACTGGAGGCTAAAACATATGAAGAACAGTTGCAGGAACTGGGTATGTCTAGTTTAATGAAAAGAAGGACCAGGGTGACATGATAGCAGTGTTCCAATATCTCAGGGGCTGCCACAAAGAAGAGGAAGTCAAGCTATTCTCCAAAGCACCTGAGGGTAGAACAAGAAGCAATGGGTTATCAAGGAGAGAAGCAATCTAGAACTAAGAAGAAATTTCCTGACAGAACAATTAGTCAGTGGAACAACTTGCCTCCAGAAGTTGTGAATGCTCCAACACTGGAAGTTTTTAAGAAGATATTGGATAACCATTTGTGTGAAGTGGTGTAGGGTTTCCTGCCTAGGCAGGGGGTTGGACTAGAAGACCTCCAAGGTCCCTTCCAACTCTGTTACTCTGTATTATATATCTATCTCAGTTCTTAGTTCTCTATATAAACCAGTCAGTCCAGTTATTTGGCTTCAGATTTACACAAAAAAAAGGAAGTGAAAGTATAGAATAAACAAGAGAGCAGTAGCAGATTGGACGAGACTTCAGATTTGCATGGCATATGTTCTTCTGGCCACCTTCCCTTTGCTTGAACTTTTCTTGCTTATTCTGCCATCTCCAGACGACAGAAGCAGAAGGACCAACCATAATGAGCTGGATGGTGGCTAATCACGGATCTAATTATGTTTCTTCTCCCATAACCTCAAAGCAAGATGGTTCCCTAGAGGCCTCTCTGGTGGTATTTGGGATCATTTATTCCCCCTCTTGCTTTCAACACCATATTAGCAAGAGTCCTGGTGTTTATGGAAAATTCTTCTCTTGTGGAGTTCTGGAAGGAACTCTCCATTTTTTCCAGAATGCAAGAAAGCTCTTTCAACTGTATGGCGAGAGGTTTCCATATCTGTCATTGTATATGTGAGGCTCACACATCACATTTTTCCACCACTCAGTTCATATAATAATCAAAGGCTAGTTATAAAAAAATACTGATTTTTTTTATAAGTAAAGAATGTTTCATTTCAATGTAAACGCAGATGATGGAGGGAACAAACCTTTGACCACCTTAGAATTTATATAAGTCCTTGTATTTTGCATCAATCTTGCTAGAGATAAGAACTATAAGAGAAGCTAAGCTTGCCTATCTGGATCAGTTATATTACAGAACATATAGCAGATGTTGTAAGCTCGCGTGTTGTTAGTAATATTTTTATATGGTTTCATGACCAGTGCCAGGTTGATTTTAGATATATGGACTGGGTGAAGTTAATGAGAATGGAAAGAGGAAGTGAAATGAATGTACTGTTCTTTTCAGTTAAACATATTTGTAATAATATGAAAGTCCTGTTTAAAACAAATTAAAAGTATGTAAAGTCATGAGAGAATTTAAGGAAAAAATTGATGCATTCAAGACATATTGGATGTCAGCCTACCCTGAATCAAAGGGATGTACAGTATTTATGTTGGAAAAATAAAGTGATTTGAAGCTAAAGATGTTCCAATATTTGGAAATATAATGCCACCCTCAGTCTCATGAAAAATAGTCTCATGAAAAATAAGCCCAACTATGCTAAACAAGATCTATTCACATTTGGATGTACGCCCAGTTTAAGACTGGTTTACAAAATATACACTCTATTGAATAATATGTCAACAATCCAATATTTTGTAAAATGTAGTAGTCAGTTTTATGGAATGCTCTTGAATGAGCCCATTAGTTGAGATTTGTATTAACATGATTTGTCTTATGTATGCACTAATGTTATACAATTCCTTTATGTTTATCTAGATGAATGGGAAAGCAGATTTTCCTTCCATCCTCTGTCTGACTTGCCACCTCCAGAACCATATGTGCCCATGAACAAGAGTTATCCTAGTAAATTGGTAAAAAATGACAATAGAAGTAAGTATTTTTTTTTCCTTTAGAAAGTAGATTTAATAATAGTGTACTTGGTGAATTATTTCTGAGTTGAAAACATGTGAAACATTTTGAATGCTCATCAGATACTCCATAAATATTAAATATAATTATTTTTTGTAAGATCATGGAAAGAGTACCAGTTAGCTCAACAGGAGTGGCTCAGTTCTGCTCTCTTCCCCAATGAGTTATTTCAGTGATCCAATTGGATAGTCTGGTAGATTGCAAAGTAAGTCAGATAGATAGGCCATAGATTACTCATAAGCAGGGATGAAATGCTCCCGGTTCAGACCGGATCACCCAATCCAGTAGCGATGGCGGCAAGGTGGTTCAGAGAACCGATAGCAAAAATCCCTGCGCCCCCCAACCTCTTCCGACAAAAAAATGCTTTTAAAAGTAAAAAAAAAAAAGCCTCTGATGATCGCGCGGCTCAGCTGGGATCATCAGGCTTTTCAAAGCATTTTTTTCTGCAACCTCTTCGGCTGAAGAGGTGGTAAAAAAATGCTTTGATAAGCCTCTGACGATCCCAGCTGAGTTGCCTGATCGGCAGAGGCTTTTCAAAGCATTTTTTTGCAACCTCTTTGGCTGAAGAGGTTGTAGAAAAATGCTTTGAAAAGTTTAAAAAAAAAAAAAGTTGGCCACGCTCACCCAGTCACATTACCCCACCACCACCAAGCCATGCCCACAGAACCGGTAGTAACAAATTTTACATTTCATCCCTGCTCATAAGTGCCATTCAGGCCTACCTCAACCCACCTCTGTTTGCTGAAAAGGCAGATAGATACCTCCTGCCAAGATAAGCAGCGAAAGGTGGAGAAACAACATTGCCCTGATTCTCTGCTGATCTGCTCCTTCTGTAGATATTGGGGAAGGAAGAAGCACAAACCACTAGCTGTGAAGAAAAGATAAGCAAGCAGAAAATAAATACAGATAGCTAGCAAATTCTTATTCAATGAAGTTCCTCTACTTTCAGAATTGTCAGCAGATAGAATGACTATTCTTCGTCTAGTGATTCACTCTAATTCATCATCATTTTACATCTGAGGTGCACCAGAGGGCACAATAATAAAATCTTAAGGGACTAGATTTTAGAAAAATCTCAACGTTTTCACTGTTGAGAAATGATAACGTCATATTACTCTCATGCATCATAAAAATTATTGCTTAGTGCTCAACGTAGTATTTAGTAGTTAAAGCATCAGGCTAGAAGCCAGGAGATTGTGAATCCTAGTTCTACCTTACACATGGAAGCTAGCTGGGTGATTTTTGGCCAATCCTCTTTCTCAGCCCAACCTCACCAGGCTATTGTTATGGGGAAAATGGGAGGAGGAAGGAGTATCTTGTGTGTTCACCACATTGAATTATTTATAAAAATAATAAAGGTAGGATACAAATAAATATTCTAATTGCAAAAATATGCTCTTTATCTATAACCTTAAACAGTCATTTAATCAAAGTTTAATATTAAAAGGTTATAACCTACAAAGTATATTCTGGGCCATAAAGTGCTTATACAAACTATTGTTTTTCCTTTCACATTTCTTCTCTTCTGAAAAACTTAATTTGTCTTCCTTTTTGGGGTGGTGAGAGGGGTTAGCTATAATGCTGCATTTAAGGGTGCCATAATTCTGCCATGCCAATAGATGTCTCTTCAAGATTTTAAAAACCATGATAGCCAAATCTTGAAAGGTTGACTAATTTGAATGTTTAAATAATTTATTTTTAATGAGATTGCTTTCATATTTGTATAGCTTAGAACTATGATCCCCAACCTTTCTGGCTTGGTGTCCCAGGGGGGAGGAAAAAGAGATGGTTCTGTGTGAGTGGCATTTGTGCAAATGGCAGGCATGCACATCTGCCCTTAGTACAAATGGAGCTTCGCACATGAGCGTGCCTGCCGCTCGCTCAAATGAGCTGCATGCATGCGCGTTCACCCCGAGGGATGTGTGTTTCTACTTACCTTTACTACCAGTTTGCAACGGCTGTGCATGCGTGCTTCTGCACATGCGCAGAAGTGTTCTGATGACGTTGGGGTCGGTGGGCGGAGCCTCCCGCCGGTTTTACTACCAGTTCTATAGAGCCAGTCTGAACTGGGGGCAACCGACCACTGGTTCACCCACCACTTACACGGCACAGTTCCGAGCAGGCTAAGGCCAGTAATCAGGGAACCCCTGGCTTAGAACATTGTATGGAGTTGCATGAAGGGGGCCTATTCCCTGAAAAGACTGCTATCTGCAGGAGTGTTCCATTTTCATCAGAATGGTGAAAGTGTCATGGCATTACAGTATAGATTGTAATGTACTGTAGTTCTTTCTTTCAGTGTAGTTCTTTCTGTGCCAACTCAGAAAGCTCAAACTGTCCAAAGAGCTGCTGATACAGTTCTACAGAGGAATTATTGAGTCTGTCATCTGCACCTCTATAACTGTCTGGTTTGGCTCTGCAACCAAACAAGACAAACACAGACTTCAATGGGTAATTAGAACTGCAGAAAAAACAATTGCTAGCAACCTGCCTTCCATTGAGGATCTATATACTGCACAAGTCAAAAAGAGGGCTGTGAAAATATCTACAGACCCCTCACATCCTGGACATAAATTGTTTCAACTTCTACCCTCAAAACGACACTATAGGGCACTGCACACCAGAACAACTAGACACAAGGACCGTTTTTTCCCGAATGCCATCACTCTGCTTAACAACTATTTCCCACAACACTGTCAAATAATGTACTAAGACTGTATTACTATTATTCTTCCTTACTAGTATCTATCTCTTCCCACTTATTACTATAACCATGTTGCTTGTATCAGGGGTGAAATCCAGCAGGTTCTGACAGGTTCTGGAGAACCGGTAGTGGAAATTTTGAGCAGTTCGGAGAACCAGCAAATACCACCCCTGGCTGGCCCCAGAGTGGGGAGGGAATGGAGATTTTGCAATATCCTTCCCCCAGGAGTGGGGAGGGAATGGGGATTTTGCAGTATCCTTCCCCTGGAGTGGGATGGGAATGGAGATTTTGTAGTATCCTTACCCTGCCACACCCACCAAGCCACACCATGCCCAAGCCACACCCACAGAACCAGTAGTAAAAAAAATGGATTTCACCACTGGCTTGTATCTTTCAATTTATATTGTTTTTATTTCTTTCCTAGTACAATTTGATAGCTTATTAGTAACCTTAACTATCACTAAGTGTTGTATCTTTTTATTCTTGATGAATGTATATTATTCTCCTTATGTACACTGAGAGCATATACACCAAAGACAAATTCCTTGTCCACACTTGGCCAATAAACAATTCTAGACTCTGTCCTTTCATATATGTGTGTAATGTCACAGTGTGCTTAGAGAAGGGGCAGCTTTTGAATGCTGAGGCTGGAATACTATGGAACTTCTGCCTCCCTAGAGATGCCACCATTGCTAACCCACAAGCTGTAATTTTACCACTTACCAAGATCTTTTTTTTCAGAAATTCCTGTATGTTTTGCAAACCTGTTTCCAGGTTTTGATAAATCTGTCAGTAAAAGATGACTGTGAGGTTTGCTTTCTCTTTCTTTAGGTGGATCCAGTCGCAGAGAAAGAGGTGCTCCACCACTTCCACCCATCCCACGGTGAAGTGGGCTTCTAATCCTTTTCAGGATGACTGTTATCCTTACATGTTCTTTGAACCTCTCCACATGTCACAATGCTCCTTCTCCAACAGCACTTTTGAGCACAACTCCCTACCTTTAGGTTTTTTTAATTTTTTTAATTTTTCCATTTAATTTGGTGAAGCTGAAGGACTTGCTTTAAATGGCCTGCCTACGTTGGTTTAGATACAGGGTGACTGAGATCTTATTCCCATTTCTTGGCATTTAGTTCTACTGATATTAGTGGAACTTGCTTCCAATAAAATGCCAGAGTATCCTTACCTTGAAAACTATCTTCAAAACTTCTTGGAAACTATCATTTGTTGCAGTTCTGCTCAGCCTTGTCATCAACAAGGAGAGGAAAGCTGCCTTGGTTTATAGCATAACATTCTTAGATGTAATTCTTGGAGATGAAAATCTTCCCTATTTCTATGGGTGGAAGTTTGGTTCACTTTTTAAACTGTAATCTCTGTGAGATTACTGATCAATTTGACCTGGCCCATTTGGCCATTAAAAAAAAACGTGTGGCACAGTAATTGCTACACTCCACCTTTAGAAGGAGATTGGGATAATTACGTGACATTTTCTCAGGCAATCTGTTTGATCTGTAATGAATTGGAGTCTTTCAGAGACCAAAAGAATGTTGCCATCGAGATTGCTTATAACTTCCGTTACAGCTTTCACAAACGCATCTCAGGCTAGCTGTTGGGCTCAATTGGATTGAAGTGGAGAATTAAAAAAAGAAAAATACTGGGCACTCAGTCATTAGGTTGGGATGATTGAGTGTCATTGTCATCTTGAGGATTACACCATCACTTCACTAATGGTTATACTATTAGAGCTCCCTTCTAAGATGTATCGTAACCCAAAGCTTTCCAATAATATGTAATGTTTACTATAAAAGCCTGTATTTTGATCCGCGAAAGACAGATACTCAACAATTATTTAGTGTATCCAAGTATCAGAGAATGCCACTATGATTTCTGTAATTTTTTTTCTAATATCTATATGTGCTGGACCTCCATTTTTATTATGGTACAAGTTGATACTTTTGAGTATGGGAATTTTTTACTTGGCTTATATGTGCTTCAAACAGCTTTTCTTTTCTTTTGCGTGGCAGCTATTAATCAAATATCCAGCTATATGTAGGAAATGTCTAACTATGGAAGAAATTCAATTGAGCTTTTTACAAGCTCTCATTAAGTTTTCAACCTGGGCTCAGAAGAGTTTATTATTTACGTTCTGATTTTGCTGCGATGATCATTCCTTTCACAGGATTTTCCTTACCTGAAAAGGTGCAAGAGAAGACTTCGTTATAGAGGGTTGGGACCACATGGTTTTGGAATCCTGCCTGTCAATAAATGGATTTGGCAATTTGCAATGTTTATTTTATCTAGCTGATATCAATTTATGGCAAGAATCCTTGCAAAATTATGATTCTGTACTGAAATTCATGTGATAAGCTGCCCAGAATGGTTTGATGGTGAGATGGACATCATATAAATTTAATAAATAAGTACCGGTAATAATAAAATAAAACAAATACAGTTTCTACTTAGGGGAGATAAGTTATGAAGATTTAATTTCAAGGATCTCGGTTTTATCTGCCTAAAACTTTGCAAGGTAGAGGCAGGAGAGTGATTTTTCAAATGATGTTAGCAGCGTCTATAAAGGAGGTTTTTAAAAAATCAAGATGGCAGATGCTGAGCGACGATGTCATGAGATGGGAAGAAGCAGAAATATTGATGAATCAATGTGTTTAATTTAATGTAAAGCACAACAGAATTGTGGAAAGGTGAAGTAAGATCTCTTTAGTCACATACATGAAAAGTAAACACACATATTTGAGGAAAAAGTCTGAGGATACACTTGAAAGTGTTCACAATGGTATTTGTATTAGTGGCCTTATCATCAAAGATACACCTTTGTGTAGTTCCTGTTTACGGTAAGGATAGAACTAAAGAGAGCAGAGAATATAACATTGCATTTTCTGTGAGTGAGTGAATGTTGTTTTTAAGTTTACTTTTTGGGATTTTTTTTTTAGTGTTGAGGTTCATTCTTTGAACCCCACTTCTGTGATGGAATTGGTATGTAATGAATACCTTTCAGGATCCAAAACCTTTACCCACACAAATTTTGCTATAAAATGAGAGATTTACATAAACTATAATCAGAAATAGGTTTCAGCACTTTTCAGGGTCATATATGGTCTAGAATTATATTTTTCAATGGACTGTTGCCCTATTTGTATATACTTAATTCTGACATTCATACGGATGAATCATTCCAGTTTCAGTCTGATTGCCATTGTACAGTACGCGTGTGTGGATTAAAAACATGATGAACAAAAAATAATTGAATTATTATTTACATTTTGTTGCAGAAACTGGAATATTTGTTTTTTGTATTACCCAGATTTTTTTTATATGCTGCAAAGTCTCTGCATCTTGTATGTGTAGTTTGATCATCAATTTATTTTTTGTTAGCATATAAAGGGAATGTGGCAGAAAGAAATTCCAAATTCATTGCAGTTGCAGTAGTTAATATAATAGAACCCTTTGAGCTAGAAAAGTTGGACAAACCGATTTATCAATGAAAGGGCCTGTCATACTTGTACTCTTATGCTAGTAGATTAGCCATTATAAATAAAGTAATAGAGCACTGCTCTTCTGCCAGTAAATCAGGATCAGTTTTCTTTAACGTGCTTTCTGGCTCCAGTGAGCTGTCAATTCCAAATCTCATATCATTCAACCATCTTGACCATGGCTGATTAGAAGTAATTGGACTTATAGTCCCAACACATCCAGCAAGAACCAGTTTAGGAAGAAACTACTCAAGATATGTGAAGAAGTATAGTCAGCCAGGAATAGAAAGAGCAGGCAAATAATAAAAATACCTGTACTCCGCTTAATTATTTTTCCTTACTGTGCTTAGTTATAAGCACATACCAGATAATATTGCTTACTATAACTACAGTTATTACTACTAAATAGCTGCCATCTTTGTGGCATTTAGAAAATTAGTTTTTTTTAACCATTAATCAGTCAAAGAATTAACTTGGCAAATTTACTTCTAGTGCAATAAAATCTAAAATTCCAACCAAAGCCTTAACATGCAGATGTGGCCTTCAGAGAGAAACATGGTCTTCTCTCTTTCTCAGAGGATAATTTGTTAGCACTTTATCTTCTATAGGAATCTTCCTCAAAGAATTTATGCTAAATACTGTAAGAAAATGTTTCAAAGGAGAAGAGATTTGTTTTGGTTGTGTAAACCACCTCTTTTTCTTTCACCAGATATATTTTAAAAACAACATGTTTAACACATTTTAGTATAGATGTTTTAGAGTACATATTTATTTATGCACGATAAGTAAACGGGGGAAAAAATAAAATCAGTTTTTCATCCTTGGTGCCTTAAAACAGCTTGGTGCCTTGAGTCTAAATGGCAGCTTTGAAAAGAAACAAGATCTAAAACTGATTGTCTCCACTGTGAATTTCAAATACAACATTTATACTTTATCATGTGTGATATTCAAGCAACATACAACCCACAGTATTCACTATATAGCATCTTACCTTACTGTACAGAAATACAATATAATGAATTGCAAAAGACTTACCAGACTGCAATTTTAAGATCTTTATTCTAGCAGTATCTTGGATGGATGAATTCATGGAAATTTGAGATGGATGTGTTTAAAATTTGAAAAAAGCAAAGTTTAAATCCTGTTCATATGAATGAATCAAATCATTTGTGAAATAACAGGATATGCATTTTAAATATATGATCCATACCCTCCTTTTTATAAAATTGCACATAAATCATGGAATAGAACATGCCTATATTGTAAATAAGGTGGTTTCTATTTGACTTTAGGTTATTAACATGCTTATCTTAAAGTACATGAGAAACTAAATGGCAAGTGAATTTCTTGCATGTACAAAGGAATAAAAATTAAAATGATTTAAAGGTTTGTCAGATGCAGCTGTATTTGTGTTTATTATATACAAAATGTGGGTTGATAACCTTTATGGTTTAGAATCTCATTATTAAGTGGCCAGCAAAGCACATATACTTCAGTGCAGTGGTGCAATTCAGCCAGTTCACACCACTTCGGGAGAACTGGATGTTAACTTTCTGAGCAGTTTGGTGAACTGGTTGTTAGAAGAAATCATTAGGGCAGAGAACCAGTTGTTAAATTCTCTGAATCCCACCACTGCTTCAGTGGGACTGTATACACCATGGGTAAATTCAGTGCAGTCCTCTTTGATAGTGCCAGTTCACTTATAATTATCATTCTTGGATATCCTTCCCATCTCTCAGAATTGTATGATCTCCACCAAAAAAATTTATTTAGCTGTTTAAGAAATTTAATTTACATATAAAATCTATATGAGCTTAAGATTCTACTTTTCATTTTAAAACATCTACCAGTCTGGTTTTAATAAAACTCTTTTGAGTTGTCTGCTTCACATTTAAAACTGACCACTAGATGGTGCTCTTTTGTTTGTTTTTAGTTAGATCTCTACACTGGAAAAGTAGTCCTTGCTTAACAACCTTAACTGGGACCAGGGACTCCGTTACTAAGCAAAGTGGTCATTTGACCATCTCATTAGCAATGAGGCCTGGTTGTCTGTAAATAAATCACCCATTAAGCAAGACATCACATGACCATGATTTGTGAATCCCCCTGTTGGCTTCTCCAATGACTTAGCTTGTCGGAAGTCAGCTGGGAAGATTGAAAATGGCGACCACGTGACCATGAGGGCTGGTCATCACTTTTTTCAGCGCCAGTGTAGCTTTGAACAGTCACTAAACAAGTGATCATTAAGTGAGGACTACTTGCAATAAAAATTGACAGCATCCAATTTGCTTATTTTGAAATCCGTAAGGCAGACCCGTGACAACTGAATGACACTTGGGCCTCAATTAAATAAATGGCAATTTGTTTAAAATACACCATATATATTAACACACTCTGCTTAATCTTATGGAATACAGTTAGGTATCTGAATTCAAGCACACGTGCAAATACACCCACCCATAAATACAATTCAAATTAAAATATATATAATGAAATCAAATGCAAACTAAAAAGTATACAAATTTTAATTAAAATACAATTCAAAAGCTAGGGAAAACAGGTGGTCACCTCATGCCAAAATGATGCCAATGTGGGCATCAGTTGAACCTCTTTAGGGAGGAAATTCCATAAATGGGGTACCTCTACAGAAATAGGCCTCCCCCTTAGGGAGGCCTACGTCACCACCTTTGATGGATGGATCTGCAAGACGATCCCCATTATAAGATTTCAAGATTCAAGGAGGTATATATGGGAAAAGGCATATCCTGTAGGGGTGTAGTTCTATTTAGGGCTTTGAAGGTGAAAAGCAGCATTGTGAATTAGGGCTGGAAACAATTAGCATTCAACATAGATGGAAAACACTGGCATAATATATTTGTATCCATCAGGCCCTTGAGTGGTCTAGACTCTCTGTTTCGAATCAACTGAGGTCCCCAGACTGACTTAAAGGCAGTCGTACAAACAACATGTTGCAGTAATCCAACTAAGAAGTTACCAGAGTCTGAATAATCCCTGTTAACTGATTCTGCCCAGGTAAGGTCATAGATGTTAAAAATCAGTTGAAGCTGATACCAAAACTACCAAGGTTACTTCAAGTGACAGTGATGGATCTAGGACTACACCCAAATGCAAACATGCTCCTTTAGGGCAAGTGCAAATACTCCAGGACTAGCAGGACACCACATAAACACATTATCTTCTCTGGACTGAGTCTCCGTTTATTGGCTCTCATCCAGTCCATTACCCCAACCAACCACTGATTCAGGCACTAAATTGTCTCACTTGAGTTAAAGCTGGGCTTCATCTCCGTACTAAAGATCTTTCCCAGCAATGGCAACTGGGGTGGGGGTCATCTCAGCCCACATTTCTGAGCGACTTCTCCCAACTATTTTATGTAGGTGTTAAAAAGATAAGAAGCCCTGAAGGATTCCATAACCCAACCACCATGAGGCAAAGAGTAATCCTCTCAGTATCACCTTTTAGAAATAGTCATCCTAAGTAGGGGAGGAACCACTTTAAAACAGTGTCCTCAAAACCCAACTTCTGACAATCAGGATCCCATGGTAAATAGTGTGGAGAGTCTCCAAATGGTCCAGAAAGACCAACACAACTGCACTCCCCATTTTTCTCCAACACAGTGTCATTCCCACAAAGCAACCAAAGATTCTTTCTATTTCATAGCCAGTCTTTTAAACAGGATTGAAATGGGTGGAAGAAGTCAATTGCACACAAGAGACCGTGGAACTAATGAATCACCATCCATTCAAACACCTTGTCCAGGAGGAACAAGGTCACTGGCCTTTTCAGGAATGGCTTATTTAATGCCACATTTAGCTCTAGATATAAATTAATATTTTAAAAAGAGGGTTAATATATTTTTTTAGTGTTTAAAGGTTTATGTCATCTAATCGTTAAGAGTCTTAATAACCTTCAGTGAATACTGGTAAGCACCACTGTAACATAATATAATGTATGATAGTTGTGTTTTACAATACAATTTTTTTTTAAAAAAGGAAGGGCCTGATCACTGCCTCTTTTAAAGAGGGTGGAATTGTCTGCCAATAATTGCAAATGTTTTATTGAGAGGTAATTGAATCAAAATAATAGCTTTTTGCAGATATGGAGTCTAAAGTGCGCAATATGTTTTTCTAAAAGGTTTAGAGACGTAGGCTGCTCTGCAGCTTGTCTGTTGTAGAAAAATAAGTAGGTATTAAAATACACAGCAAGTACCCTGTGGTCATAGTCAAAGCGCTGGGACACAGAATTTCGTCTCAGCTTATTTTTCCACCTGACCTCCCTATACTCACTGCCACACTGTAGCACCCCTCAATCAGCCTCCCCAACCCCAGTGTGGCACCCCCATACTCCTTAATTGAACTCCTTCACTTTCTGCTGAATGACCCATGTGTTTAGAGTTACAACATCAACCAAGATTGCTGGGATTGTTACTCTAATTGTGGTCATAAGTCAAGGACTACCTCTGTATTTGCTATGAATTAAGCTTTTGTTTACTCCTTCAGGTCTCTATAGCAATATTGAGTTACCAGTATATATATCCTTGTCTGAATAAAATGGGAAAAATGGAAAATTAAGCTTTAAATATTAATATTTAACAAGGAACTTCACAATTTTTGGATGATACAAGGCATTACTGTATTGATAAGCTGACAGACATATATAGGATAATTTAAAAGTTGGAAGGGGGGGGGGAGCTCAGATTAAGCCAAGAGGGAAGAATTTTTCAATTTTATGCTGGTTTGCTTGTTTCAAACTGAAACTTGAGATGTGTTAATTTCTTACTTTAGTGAAAGTGGCCTTTTAGAAAACTGCTGAAGGGCAGTGTTGGCTGACTGAGAAAGATAAGCACACATTATGCTGCTAAAGTAGATATGAGATTTGGCATCTACTTTAGACAACTAAAGGTAGCGACTAAAACTGAGTGTTAAAGTGGATATTTGGCAACAACTTTGGAATGAAGTGTTCAGATATTTCATATTAACAAATCAGCAATTCACCAATGGATCTTGAGTACATTCACTATTATAAACCTAACATGCAATTAATTCCACAAGGACTTTTCATGTTTATTGGTTATGCTACTAGAGAATGTTTTAAAAGGATTGGCATGATGTTAAGTATAAAATGTTGGATGGAACTTTTACAATCCCCCGATTATTTCATCTTGGTTTTATATTTTACTAATTTGTTTTAGGGAGGTATGTTTTAAAGTTGTGAATGTAATTCTGAATTTTATGCCCAAGATTTGTGTTTTATTAAAACACAAAAAGTAATGGATTTATTGAGCATGGAGTGTGGGGGGGGGGAGACTTTTTCCAGTGAGAAAGCTGTTTCACACTTAAAAAACATGACTTTGTTGTATTTTTTGTATTCCCTTCCCCCTCCCCCTTTACATTAAAGGGTTTAAAAAAGGCATCTGAATTGGCAAACAGCATGTTCATACTGATTTCACCATTAGCATAAACCTACCTTGCCAATCCATCTGATTGCTTGCTAAGAGAAGTTTCGCCCTATTAACATTTCCCCCTTATTTTTGGCACCGCAACTTCCAGGTGTGTCAAAATGGAGGTGTGTTGTCACCTCTGCCTTGCAGGGAAGTCAGGTGGTTAATTGGCTTTCGAGAGGCAATAAAAATAGAACAGGAATCGGCCTCTTCTGTAGTTTTGTACATACTCAACGCTGGTGCTTCAATTCAGCAGTAGGGAAAAGCCCCGTTTGGCTACCAGGATAAGCAGTTATTTTTATTTTATTTTTTTAAACGATCGGTTGGATATTTGAAAATAAAAATAATAAATCAGCATCGAGGCTAATTAGAGCCTAAGAATCCACCGTCAAGCAGAGACATGCAGCAGGGCTATCTCGCAAGGATGCAACCCTGCGCCGCGTCATATGGCAGGGAGTCCCATTCGGGCATGTAGGAATTACTTCCGAGTAAATACAGGTCTACGGCCGCGAGCTTATTACATAAAGGGACCAGAGACGAAGAGGTGTAAGCTTTTACTCGTCAGGTAAAACGGAGCAAATGCGATCGGCAGGTGGGATTAAAACGGGAACCGCTTTTCTCTCTCCAACCCCCCCCACCCCCCTTTTTCTGGTGCAGCCGCCCGCGACCCCATCGCCATTTTAGCTAAACCCAGACGCGGGGCGGGCTCGGCCAGCTTGGGCCCGCCTCTGCGGTGAGCTCACACGCAGCCGGGTTCAGCCCCACGCGCGAGCTGCCTCCCGTCAAGACGACAGGTTCCCCGCAGGGCCGGAGATGCCCGCTTTGCTTCTGCTCTCGCTGTTGCAGCCCCCGTAGGGCGAGGGCAGGTAAATCAGAACAGCTGCAGGCGGGCGGCGCGCGGGCGGGGAAGGGAGGAAGGCGCGGGTCG